CATATAAATAATGATATGATAATTACATGTTCATATTATAAAAAAATTATTGTATAATTTAAAGTATATAATAAAAATTACTTAATAAAAAGCAATTTTTAATATTAAAATTTTATCTTATTTAATAAATCATATTTTATAATTCAATAGTAGATAAAAAAACAATCAACTTTATATTAAAAAATCAAAAAATTATTTTACATGATAAAATATATATATAATTCGTCTTATAAAATTATTTAAATATTTTAAATAAAATAAAATAAAATTAAAATTAAAATTATTTAAATAATTTTATAAGATAAACTACATATAATTTTTTTTTTATAAAACAATTTTCTGTAAAAATTAGCAATGAAATATAATTATAGTTGAGTCATTTTCCTTTTCCTCATTTCTATAAAAAGTATAACCAGGCCAAACAGATCATTCGAGATAATATCAAACCAACTGTAAATGTTAATTTAGAAAAATGTCTGACAGCGTTGCCGCGTTTCTCAGATTTAAAGAGGGCTCTGTTTTCAGGAACTCTTAAAACTCCAACAAGATTGCTTTTCTGGTTTTTGATCTGTTAATTCATCTGGGTATTTTTTGAGGAATTCCGGAAATGGCGATTCAGGGGTTGGGAGGAGACGACGATCCCGTCATCAGCGTCGTCGGAGATGGGTTCTGTCTCCCGTACGCGGCGGAACTCGTCGTCAAGAAAAAGATCCAGGCTTTCTCCAACGCACACTACGACGTCTACGACACCACCGGGAACATCCTCCTCAAAGTCGACGGCGGCGTCTGGAACCTCCAGAAGAAAAGGGTTATGCGCGATCCCGCCGATTTTCCCGTCCTCACAATGCGCGAAAAGGTATTCCATTAATTGATCTCGTTCTTGGAAATTAGAACTAAAAGTTCATGATTATTCATTTGAGGCATTTCATCAGGCATTTACATGGCGGCACCGGTGGCTGATTCATCAAGGGGAAGGTTCGGACCGGAAGAATCTACTCTGCACGGTGCGGCTGTCGCAGGCCCTGCAGATCAAAAGACAGCTCGACGTGTTCTTGGCCGGAAATCAGACCAAAGATTGTGACTTCCATGTTACCGGAAGCTTGTCTTCACTTTCCTTCAAAGTCTACAGAGGCAAAACTATCATTGCAGAGGTCCTTCTAAAGAATCAAATACTGTCTTTTGTTTCAAAATTCAAATAATTAATCTCTCTCTCTCTCTGTCTTTTTTTTTTTTTATGGGCAAATAATTTGTGTGGTTAGCTATTTTTAACATAAATTTTGAGACTTGATCTTGACTCCACAATGATTTTGCTAATTAATTTTTGAAATGCTACAATTTTTCAGGTTATTCATAGTTTTACATGGGAAAGCTTTTGTAAGGGCAAAGAAAGCTTCACAGTGAGATTGCAACCGGAGGTGGATTATGCATTCATCGTTGCATTGATTGTGATTATTCAAGAAAATGAAAGTAGATGATCTTTTATGGTTAAATGTCAATTTTAGTGCCTTCAATTTAAGGTTTTGTATTATTTTTGTTCATTAATTATGAAAAACGTATTATTTTTGTCCATTAATTATGAAAAATGTATTTTTTTAGTTTTTTATTTATTAATCTATTAAATTTATTTAAATATATATTTTTAATCCCTTAACTTATAATAATGTATATTTTTTGTCTCTCAATTTAAAAGTTTAAGTATTAAAAATGTATATATTTAAATAAATTTAATGAATTAATTGAAAGAAACACTAAAAAAATAATTTTTTTATAATTGAAAGATAAAAAAAATACATAAAGAAGTTGAGGTTGAAACTATACAAAACCCTAAAGCTAAGACACCAAATTGGCATTGAACCATCTTTTATCTAATGTAGTTTTATTTTTAAATTGTGAATCCGAAGCTTGCTAAGTTTCTATAAAGTTTTTGCACATATATATACACACACAAAAAGGAAATAGAACTTTTCAAATTGAAGTATGTTCATATTGCACCTTCATATTTTTCACTTTTTGCTTAGACACTTTAATTAAGAATGGGCTTCGCAAGTCTTCAAGGGTTTCGTCAAAAAGTTGGAATTGAACATTAAAACCTTAATTTAAGAAAGTGGAGTACTATTTCTTAGTATATAATTATATTATTTAATATTATATAATTTATCATTTGATGTTATAAAATTTATAAAGTTTTCTTGAATTAGTTCAACAAAACTCAATATTTTCTTCAAAATTTTGGGTTCAGATTACAATAGAGACTAACCGAACAAGCTAAGCTCATTGCCCAAGTAGCAAACATGGAAAACATTAGCATTTAACATTAGATTTACTAATAAGTAAATGTCATTTTATAATTTAAGTTTAAAATTTAAGTTTTAAACTCAATACATACTCAAAAAATCAATTTCCTAAATATATCAAGTTGATATGTGGAATACACCCTTAAGAGCATGTATAATGAAAAAAAAAAAATCATTTTAATGCCATATCATCACAATTAATATTATTTAGATAAGCTATTTTTTTTATATTTAATACTTAAAAAGAACACACAATCAAACACTTTATTTTTAATCCATATACTTTAATAAAATTTTCTTGACATCGTATTAATATTATTTTATTTAATTAATATTTAAATATTTTAAATAAATAAAAATTTAAAAAAGAAAAAAGAAAAAAAGAAATACCAACCATTGGATTGCGAATGATGGCCATTTGGGACCGCCTAACACAATATCGGCGGTGCAGACAAAAGTAAAATTAAAAAAAATAAAGAGAGTGGAGCTCTCTTTTTAAAAATGGAAAAAGATGTTCTTTTGGACAAAAACTTCAATTTTGTTCTATTTTCTGACGAGAATAACAAAGCAAGCATGCATTGGTTATACTTTAAAATTGGCTAAAAAAAGAGATTAATTAATTTTGAGGTTTTTTCACCCGTAAACATCTGACCTTCAAAACATTGGGAAACATTTACAAGGTCCCCCACGATAAAAGGGAAACATTTACAAGAGTGCGGTGACTAATGATAAGAAGCTAAAAGTTGAAGGCATGAGAATGTTCATCTTTATGTTTATAATGGGAGCGTCCGCCCAACATTTCAAAAATGTGAAGCACATACCCATGTACGTATCCAAGCAACATTATTGCTTTGTGAGAGTTACCAATACGATAGGGTAAGTATTTGGGCAAATGAGATTTGTGTAGGGTTCTAACAAGGTTGAATACTTGTTCTGCAAAAGAGATCTAGGAAGACTACGCACAACATCTATATGCTTGTGAGAACTTAAAAACACTGCAATGAAGATTGTGAGCCAAAATGGGATTTTAAAAGGGCAATAAAACTAAGAAGACAGCCTTGAATGTAACTGATAGCTTCTGTTGAAGTTAGGATTAGCTTCGTTCTAAAATACTGCATTCATATATATTATACTATTTCCTTAATTGATTGATTGATTGATTTCTCTTACCCCCTAGCAAGCTGGCATGTTGAAAAAAAAAAGAAAAAGGTCAAACTACATGGATACTTAATTCCAATAAAACTTTCATCAATACTGTCAAATTTCCCTCCCTCCCCAACCCCAATTGTCCTATTCATATAAAAATTTGAGTCAAAGTTTTTTCTAAAGTTGTTTCTGAACAGATTTTAGGCAATCATCACATACTGTCTGTAATCCATTTTTCTATCTTCCTTATTTTGAATAAGATAATCTGGTTCTGGTCCGTTCTGGTTCTGTACCAGAAAGTTGCCGCCTTTCTTAGATTCAAATACCGCTCTGTCTGCAACCTCCAACAACACTGCTTTCTGGTTTTTGCACTGTTTCTTCATCTGGGTTTCTTGAGGAAGTTACAAAAATGGCGATTCAAGGGTTGGGAGGAGACGAAGATCCCATCATCAGCGTGATCGGAGATCAGTTTTGTCTCCCATACGCGGCGGAGCTCGTTGTCAAGAAAAAGGTCCAGGCTTTCTCTAATGCACACTACGACGTGTACGGTTCCACTGGAAACATCCTCCTCCAGATCGACGGCAGCGTCTGGAACCTCGAGAGGAAAAGGGTTATGCGCGATCCGGCCGGCTTGCCCGTTCTCACAATGCGCGAAAAGGTATTCCATTAATTGATTCGTTCTTCGGATATCAGCAGTTTTTAAGGAATTCGTTAACCATCGAAAATTCATGATTCATTGTGGCATTTCATCAGGCGTTTACATTGCCGTACCGTTGGCTGATTTATCAAGGGGAAGATTTGTACAGGAAGAATCAAATCTGCACTGTACGGCTGTCGCAGGCACTGCAGATCAAAAGACAGCTCGACGTGTTCTTGGTCGGAAATCAGACCAAAGACTCTGACTTCCATGTTACTGGGAGCTTGTCTTCACTTTCTTTCAAAGTCTATAAAGGCAACACTGTAATTGCAGAGGTACTTCCAACTCCAAGAATCTAAAGTACGTATTTACTTTGAAACTCAAGTGAACAATGTCTGAAATGCTACCATTTTGTTCAGGTTATTCATAATTTTAAGTGGCAAAGCTTTTGTAAGGGCAAAGAAAGCTTCATGGTGAGGGTGCAACCGGAGGTAGATTACGCGTTCATCGTCGCATTACTGATCGTCATCATCAAATAACAGGCAATTATGAACTTTATCCATGACAATATTAGCAGAGGACTTCACAGATCTTCAAGCC